CACTAAAACACGTTGATCTCCATTCTATATATATATATATATATATATATATATAAATATATATATATATATGTTCGCTTGTAGGAACTCAAGTTTTCGTCTGCCTTTTTTGTGTTTACATATGAACGTGCATACAGATACAATAAACACCAACCTTACAACCTTTTAATATTTTACAAACCTTAACCACCCTCACTTGAAATCCACTATCTCTTATGCTTTTTTCTCATTATATATCAAATAGAAGAGAAGCCTTGAACCCTGTCTCGCATAAACACTAAGATGTAGCGTTCTCGCCAATTCCCTTTGTTTATCATAGTGTTTGGAAGGAAAGTGTGTAGAGTGTGGTCGTCTCATCATGCAATTGAGGTTCCATCAGTCACTTGTGTGGGCGGTTTACGGACAAGCATAATTTTAGCCAGGTCTGACAAAAGGGTGTATTCCCCAGTGAAAGAACAACAAATATTTCAAGACGTCGATTCCATCCAAGAAAAAATGTTTTTGGTTGCTAGCTATCCTATTAAATGAGTTCCAGGAATGTTTCTGTCACTGGATAAAGTATGTTGATTCAAATGGGGACTACTTCGAAGGAGATTAAATGCCGGGTTAATATGTGTTGTAGTTTTTTTTTTATAGAACCAGTATCGATATTTTTTATCAGACCTAGTATTTACCATTCGATAAAAAACAAAATAAAACAACAAAAAAGTGGCAACTCCTTGCTCTTCAAATAAAGGAGTTCCAGGTGTGCTTCCATCAATAGAAACGAGGCTAGATAAAGTGTGTGGCTTCAGAAGGGGACTTCTTTAAAGGGGATGTAATGGCAGATTGATATCTGTTTTCTTTTTATAGAAGTGCTGATTCTTTTTTTTATGAGAACTTGTATTCACCATTCAAATGGATAAATCCAAGAGAATACGGTGAGGCAACTACTCGCTATTCAAATAAAGGACATCCAGGAATACTTCCATCAATGGAAACGTCACTGGATAAAGTCTGTGGACTCAGAAGGAGACTATTTCGTAGGAGATTAAATGCCAGATTGATATGTGCTGTAGTTTTCTTTTTATAGGGCCAGTGCTGTTATTTTTAAATGAGACTTCGCATTTACCATTCAACCAAAGAAATACAAATACCCGAATACCCCCAGTCCCGATACTTTTTGATCAAATCTCGTATAGAGAAAATTGTAGTTTAATTCGAAAAACCTTTTTTTTTTTAAAAAGAACAAAAAAGATTATTTCTTCGATAGAATTATCAGAGCAAATGCGTATAACTTTTGTTTCTGATTATTTAAATGTTTCGTGATTGGATTTCCATTAGGTTCGCTTGATTTTCTGAGTTTAATATGAAATTGATTAAAGATAATTCGTTTTTACCTATACGCACTAAATAACGTTCAAGTAAAACAATCTTATAGATCGAGAATATAGTTTTATGTAGGTGTACAACATCCCCCCACCCACAAAAAAATAAAAAAAAAAGCAGCCAATTCCATATATTATTACCAATATCTACAAACACGATTTACCCCAATGTTCGTAAAATATGAAATAGATTTTATGGAGTTTAACAAGGTTGTGTGTTTGTGTATACGTTAGGTGAGTGCGTCTTCACACGGGATAAGCAAATAAGAAGATGCACAAAAAAGCTTGTGTTTCAATTACGAAAACTTTTATCCATTTTTTATGGTGACCTTTGTGAAACAAAATTGTCCCAGTCTCTTGGTTATGTCGGTTTTCTTTTTGGGTCCAGAAGTAAGTTATAGTCAGTAAGGATAACAATGGTTAAAACGGTCGATCTCAAAGCAGCTTTGCGCTGGCTTGGAACGACCAAATGCTTCATGAGTTGGGCTACAAGCGCGTCCAAATGATGCCGTTAGAAAAGAGAAAGAGAAAGAAATCTGTCCTCTTACATATTTAAAAGTCTTCCATTCGCCCCTCTTTTGATTATTGCTGCCATATCTGTTTGGATGCTTCTGGAATATGTTGTGAAATTCTTAGTAAAATCCGAAGAAGAATCAGCAATATCATTTCTCCTTCCCTGGCATCTCGGCTTCAGTCACTTTCCCAACACCGTAATGTAGCTTTCCTGGGCCTTTTCTATAACTACTTTCATTGTAATTATTCGGATGAACTTTTCACTATGGTACCTAGACTTTATGAATTTGAGCGCAGTACTGGATTGGCGGCTAGGTCTCATCCATTTAGTTGAATTGGCTAGATGTAACCGTAAGTTCTATGCTAATAGTTTCTTCTCTCAGACTTCTCACTTGTGTTCGATTCTCATTACGTGTTCGATACTGCTGGCCTTGTGTCACATTTAAGCCACGCTTAGAAAATCAATAGTGGCGATTTCGACGAGGTGTAATAGTCAGCAAACTTGTCTTACTGGATCAATGATGACTGAGTAGTGAGTTTGTTCCTCACTGGGTGCTCCATACTTCCGGCCTTGTGCCACATCTCATCTAGGCTTAGTAAATTGCTATTGCCTCCCAGGTAAGTCCTGCCATGTCACTTAGACTTGAGCCTTTACTATTCCCTTTCTAAGTTACACTCAAACAGCTTCTTCCCACGAACCGGTAGTTTGTGGAATCTGCTCCCAAGATGATACTTTCCCAACCACTATATCTTTAACCTCTTCATCTCCGAGGGGGTGCCCTCATATATCCACATAAATTGTCCCTCTTACCTCAAACTCCTTCCAATCGTTGAACAACCTTCTTCAGTAACTCTCTACTTTTAATCTGATTTGATTTGTTTAACGGCACATCAACTTCTTATGGGTCATTTAATATCGAAATTCAGTTTTCTCGAGGGCTCTGAAGTAATAAACATGTGATATATGTCATTCTGTTTTCACAATTGACTACATGGTAGATGATACTCAGCTTTTGAGTATATTTAACTCTGTGTGAATATAATTACTAAAGGCGGTGATGTTTGGGCTTTATGTTGTTTTTTTGAAGTTATATTTTGAAATACAGTTTGATTTCTTTCAGAAATTGTTACATGTTATGTTAACTAATGTCAAGAAAGAGGTCTTTCATTTTGGTTGTGTAGTTGATATTGTTTAGCGGCATATCGATACCTCTATGGGTTATTTAATGCCGAAATCTAATTATTTTGAACATAATTTCATAGCTCCAACTAAATATAGTTTGAACGCAATTGTATGCCTTCAACTACAGATAAAATGCATTGTTGCTCATTTTGATTTCAATATGTATTAGTTGGTTGATTTTGTTTAGCGGCATATCAACACATCTATGGGTTATTTAATGCAGAAATCTAAATATTTTGAACACAATTTCATGGCTCCAACTAAATAAATTTTGAAGGCAGTTGTATGCCTTCAATTACAGATAAAATGTATTGTTGGTCATTTTGTTTTAAATATGTATTGTTGCTTGGTTGATTTTATTTAACGGTAAATCAACACCTCTGTGGGTTATTTAATGCCGAAATCTTAATATTTTGAACGCAATTTCATGGCTTCAAATAAATATATTTTGAAGGCAATTGTATGCCTTCAACTACAGATAAAATGTATTCTTGGTCATTTTTTCTTTAAATATGTATTGTTGGTTGGTTGATTTTGTTTAGCGGCATGTCAACACATCTATGGGTTATTTAATGCCGAAATCTAAATATATACTATGTATAGGCATTATTGATAATGTTACAATAAATATGTATTGTTTTTATTTTTTATATAAAAATTTATTTATTTTATAGTTTCATAGTATTTTATTTTTGTGAAGTTGTCACTCTTTTACCATAGCGGGGCTCGTAACTGGTGCTACCACACCGTGTTAGGATGGATCTAGGAACAACAGCAATTAAGAGATGGTTCCCATGCTTCTCAAAAGCTCAATCTTCTGATCAATGGCCTTGCTGCCGGATGTAGTTTATCGTCATACCCAGGACTAAACTTGAGTGGCCTTTGAACCTTGTATATATAAAAAAACATAAAACAAAACATAGAGCGTCTTTTCGTTTGATCCAGAAATTTGGTTATCGTATATCAATGAGCTTCCTTAAAACCTGACGTAATGAATTTATCCTAATTACGCCAGCTAGACATTCCTTCACGTCTCTTGTTGTTTGTTTTTCTCAAGAGTCCGAAAAGTAGAGATGGCTTAAGGCGGAAATGACATCTATAAAAAAGATTTTTCTTGACTGGTAGTGCTGATCATATGAGAGTGATTTAATTCTGTCTTGCTTAAAAAAATAGTTTAATTAGCTACAGGCAACTGGCAATAAGTTTACAATTGGTCGATATTATAATAATAATAATATTAAGAAAAATGACATCGACCATTTTGATTGGTGGAATATCGTAGTCTAATCGGTAAAGACATCAGTTGTCTTGCAGTAAACATAGGACGCAGGTTCGAGTAAGCATCAGATTTTTGAAAACTGCTCCGAGTTAACCACCTTCTTTTTTTTGTGTGCCGAGTCCCTACAGGTTGAAGATTAAGATTATCTTCCACAAATTCCTTTCCACTCTAGTGAATCTCTCTTTTAAGTAAGATAATTTCTATTTTAATAAGTATGGCATTCATTAAATTAAAGTTGTGGTTGAATCTATTTCTATGTTTAACATATGCATTTGATAAGTTATTGTGCATAAGATCCCTTTTGTGTTCATAGATATTTTTTAATTTCTGCACGTTTCCCCGATATATTATAAGGAGAGTTCTGGGGATTTATTCTTTATATACAAGCATCAAAGTTATTAGTTGTGAGTATTTTTGGTTCTAATAATATCCATAATAATTTCTGGATGGAGTTGCAGTTATTTAGATTGGATAGGTTGTTTTAGATAGGGGATGTTATGGAGGCTGTATGTAGTATTATGTATCTGTTTTTATTTAGTTTAATATTGTCAATGTTATTTTTTGCGTTCGTATATTCTGTCTGCCTTTCTCATGGCAGTTTGTATATTTCCAAGCCAGAACGAGGAAGTTTCAATGAAAACGGAAACAAAGAAATGCGTTATATTAGAATGCGAGCGAGAAAAGATAGGGATTTGTGGGGAGACATGATCAACGGCCGGAAGTGAAACGGCACATAGAAGAAGAATAAGAAAAAGAAGAAGAAGAAGAAGAAAAAGAAGAAGAAAAAAGAAAAAGAAAAAAAGAAGAAAAAAGAATAAATATTTAAAAAGAACAAAATAAAAAGAAGAAGAAGAAGAAAAAGAAAAAGAAATTGAAGAAGAAAAAGAAGAAGAAGAAAAAGAAGAAGAAAAGAAGAAGAAGAAGAAGAAAAGAATAAGAAGAAAAAAAAAAGAAGAAGAAGAAGAAGAAGAAAAAATAGAAAAGAAGAAGAAGAAGAAGAAAAAGAAAAGACAAAGAAATGGAAAAAGAAGAAAAAAGAAGAAGAAGAAAAAAAAAAAAAGAAGAAAAAAAGAAGAAAAAAAAAAGAAAAAGAGGAAGAAAAGAAGAAGAAGAAGAAGAAAAGAAGAAGAAAAGAAAAGAATGAGAAAAATTCCAAAGAAGAAGAAGAAAAAAAGAAAAGAAAAAGAAAGAAGAAAAAAGAAGAAGAAGAAAGAAGAAGAAGAAGAAAAGAATTTAGGAAAAAGAAGAAGAAACAAAGAAGAAGAAAAGAAAAGAAAAAGAAAAAACAAGAAGAAGAAAAAGAAGAAGAAGAAGAAAAGAAAAAGAAAGAAGAAAAGAATAAAAAGAAGAAAAGAAGAAGAAAAAGAAAAGAAGAAGAAGAAAAAGAAGAAGAAAACGAAGAAGAAAAAGAAGAAGAAGAAGAAGCCACACTAAAAACTGCCAAAAATTCTCTATCTGCAAAGAAAAGACTTCACGAAAATTCTATAATTATTCACTCTTTTTTTTTCTTTATTTCCTTCCTTTTTTTTTAACGACACATAAGAACTCCGTTCAGCTTTACCGCCAAAATCTTTGTTGTTGGTCCACCTTATCGCAACTGAAAGATTCTTTAACATTGCAAGCTGACCACGTGTCAATCACAAGAGGGAACCTCTGACAGGCGGACTAAAAGAATTCCAACATTCCAATGATGACCCGATACCAACTAAGATTTTCGGCGACCCCAGTCGACCAGTGATCTCGCTATCAGCATCTATAAATGCTTGTAAGCTATCAGAAACACGTCGATATTTATATGCATTGGTTCTATTTCATGTATCGGTCGGTCGGTCGCCACGGGCGTTGGAAGTGGGTGACGAGTCTTAACCGTCAAGCTGAAACTAAGAAATGTAATTCGTTTTAACAATTTCCATGGAAATAACAATAGACTAATAAAAGGCTTGCAACATTTCGTCTGTACGAAAGCGGTTGCAGGGTGGAAAATATTTCATCACCCATAAGGCCGTGGAGACTCTATCAAGACTGGCGACAAGGGAGATTAATTGGTAGCAAATCTTCTCAATAACGGGGTAAAATTCTTGTTAACCCAGTGATGGTGTAATTTCACTATGTTTTTTTTTTTAATATTCCAGGTGTTTCATAGATTATAGGAACCACTTTATCATCAGAATCCAAGATATTAGTAACCTTAATATTTATATTTTTCCAGACGGAATGTTTTGAATTTTTCATACATCTCTAATTTTACTTGTCTATTTCTAAAATATTTCTAGTGTTCCAAAAATTATAGTTACTGCTGGTATCAACAAATTCCAAGATGTTGGTAAGCTTAATATTTACATTTACCAGTATAAATAATGTTAAGTTATCTTTCATCTCTATTTTTACTTGATTATTAATGTATTTCCAGTGCTCCGAAGATTATAGGTACTACTCTTAACATGATTCCAAGGTGGTGGTAAGCCTAATATTTATATTTTCCTAGTTTAAGTAATTTGCAGTTTTATTACATCATTATTTTTAATACTTTATTAAAGTATTTCCAGTGCTCCAAAGATTATAGGTACTACTATTATTACCAAATACCAAGATTTTGGTTACCTTAATATTTATATTTTTCCTGTCTGAATAATTTGAATTTATGTGCCTCTGGAAGTATGGGATCTTTGCTTTTGTGAATATTGGCTGGTACATGTTAGTTCATTCGTGATTCCAAACTGGAATCTGCTCTACAGGCGTAATCATAACAACACTGAGATTTAAACTGGTAAATTACCGAACAGATTATAGTGATTTCCTAAGCGTAGATCAGATGCAACATAAGCCCGAAACTTTTGGGGCACCCAGTGAGGATCGAACTCATTTTTAAGTCATAATTGATTTAGCGAGACATGCTTCTTAGCCTTTATACTAGGTCGAAGCGCTCTTAATAATTTGCTAAGAATAGCTTATATGTTGCACAAGGCCGAAAGTGTGGAGCACCCAGAGAGGATCGAACTCACATCTCAGTCGTAATTGATCCAGCGAGACAAGCTTGGTAACCATTGCAAAGTGTCCTTAACGAACTGTTTGTATGTTTTGCATGTCAACACCTATATGGGTCATTTAATGCCGAAATTTACTTTTCTTACGAGCATTAATAATTTCATTTACAAAAATTTAATACTGGTAATTTTTTTTTCAAATGCATAACAACATAGTTGCAATATGAGCTCTGGTAAAAACATGCAATGATAACAGCAAAATTGCAATATGAGCACTGGTAAAAATGGTTGCTGAAGACATTAGGTTTATACTACCCAGAAATTCATACCCAGATGTCGTCAAGGATAAAGGCGTTGGTAAGATCCAGTGACAGACCCAAAGAGTGTGAGTTCAATACCCGTTTAAGGCAGTGGGAAATTTCAGAGGGAAATTAGCAGGATATAACTGATAACTGACCTGCATTAAACATGGAACATGAACTAGAACAGTCTACCCCGGTGAGCGTAATAAAGGGTTCAGTTCGACATTCCGACCACCAAGTTAACGGCGACAAAGATGAGGACAATAGTCCGAATAATGAAAATGTATTGTTGGTGTTTTTACGACGAAAATTTATTTTTATACTTTCATAGTTTTTTTTATCCCATTTTGGGAGTTAACAATTTGCCCATAACTGGGATCCTAACAGGTGCTACCACCCATGGGTCAGGGTGGATCGAAGTACAACAGCAATTAAGAGGTAGTTTCATGCTCCTCAAAACATCTCGATAACAGGCCTTGCTGCTGGATGTAGTTTATCGTCATACCCAAGAGTAACAAGGTATGTGCAACTTTTTTCAGTAGAGTTTTATAACATTACTAGCAGTAGAGCTCGGCGTTGCCCGGGAATGTAACAGTAAGAGATAGATCAAGTATCGACCATCATAAAGACTGAAAAATAAAATTGACAAAGATTATTGTTTAAGGTTGACGGACACGCATGTCTTAATTAGTTAATTTATTTATTTATTTTTTTTACGAATTGGTCAACCCAAACTCAAACAAAAAACATTGTTTTCAATCGTTATGAGTCTACTGATTGAATAGAATTTTATTATAAACAATTGTCTTGTAAATGGAATTTTTAAAAGCATTCTGAATGTAAAAATAAAGAAAAAAAAGTGCAAGACAATAAGAAACACTACCTGCCAAAAAAAAAAAAAAAGTGAAGTTTTGTTGAAATCGGTTGAAAAATGTAGGAAATCTGATCCCATATATAAACGAACACACACACACACACACACACACACACACACACACACACACACACACACAACAACTCTGGGTTTTATAATAAGTATAACTCGATATGAGTTGTCCCCCCTTTCATTCTCGTGATGCCTCTTAATCATGTTTTCAAATTGATTTCGTGCAAAAACAATTGTGTTTTTTCCAATTTTTGGCGCTGTCAGAACCACCGCAAAGGTAATTTTACGTAGTCCTGTGAAGTTTTTTTGAAATCGGTTGAAAAATGTAGGAAATCCGATCCAATATATAAACGTACACACACACACACACACACACACACACACACACACACACACACAACATATCAAAGCTTTTTATAATGAGTAAGATTTCCTGTTTAGGATTGGGTTTCCGGTTCCTTCAAATTTCTATTTCAACTCAGTACTTCTAACGCCTCCGTCTGAACTCTGAAATATTAACTATTTATTTATTTTTTTCAAAATAGGAGTATATATGTTCACCTATCATACAGTTCACAAACCTCCCTGTCATATGAACAGGAGTAGTGGTAATCCCTTGTTTCCTGTTTAGAATTGGGTCTCCGATTCCTTGCAAATTCTACTTCAACTCTATACTTGTAACGTCTCCACTTAAACACTGAATGTTTTACTATTATTTTTATTTGTTTATTTTCTCCACAATAGGAGAAGATAGGCTCACCTAAAGCCCGGTTCACAGTCCTCCGCGGTATTTTGAACAGAAGCAGATGTTTATTTATTTTCTCCACAATAGGAATAGATAGGTTAACTTATGTTTTAACCTCACGTGAATGTGGCATCATATCGTTTCCGAAAATTTAAACGTCCTGGGTATGACGATGAACTACATCCGCGTCCTGGGTATGACGATAAACTACATCCGCGTCCTGGGTAAGACGATAAACTAATCCGCGTCCTGGGTAAGACGATAAAAACGTCCAAAAATATCCTTTTGCCAGCTATACATTTTTTTTTTTAGAAATAATGTTGCCAGCTATACGTTTACTAGCACTATATATATATATATATATATATATATATATATATATATATATATATATATAAAAAAAATTAAATTTGAAGTTAAATGACCTACAGTGGTTGCCATAAACCCAACCAACCAATCAACATTTTTTTTTAAAAAAAACTTTTTATATTAAGCATAAAGTATAAGCACATATTTTGGGAGGTTGTTTATTAAGTAAAGTATAGCTTCTAAAATTTGTAATCTTTTTTTACATTTTATTTTACCAAATACTATTGCATTATCAAAAAGTATCTAACTTATTGTAATTTTTGCATTTCTATTAAATATATACATATCACCCGGTTTACACTCCTCCCCGGCCATTTGAACAGGAGTTTATCCATTGTTTCCTGTTTAGGATTGGGTTTCCGGTTCCTTGCTGATACTATTACGACTCTATACTTCTAACGCCTCCACTTAAAAACTGAATGTTTTACTATTATTTTTACTTATTTATTTCCTGCACAATAGGAGTTGATAGGTTATCGCCCAGTTCACACTCCTCCGCGGTATTTTGAACAGCATTAGAGGTTTATCCATTTTCTTCCTGTTTAAGAATGGATTTCCGGTTCCTGCATAATTCTATAGCATCTCAATCCTGCTAACGTCTTCGTCTGAACTCTGAAATTTTAACTATTTATTTATTTATTTATTCACAATACTAGATATGTTAACAGTCCTACGCGGTATTTTAAAAAAACAAACAGTAGATGTTTATTTCTTGTTTAGAATTGGGTTTACTGGTCCTTCTTGAGTTTTTCCTTCCTTTACTCTTCCAGTAGCCCGTTGCGTCTTAGGGGCGTTATTGATTAAAAATATGTATAGACCTAAAAGTAATCGAATGTATAGTTTGTCTTAGTTAGGCTACGAACTTTTCAATGAAGATCTGGATAAACGATTTTATTTGAATGCACCACAGTAATTTTTTCCACTAATTATCAGAGATCGATAATTCGATTTTTGTAAATGTTCGTAAGATATTATTCTTTTTCCATTATTTCTATTGGAATTAAGTATCGGAAATTTTTTTTACGTATGTTCAACTGGCAATTTCTCTGACACACTATGTAAAAATATTTCAGTTTTGAAGAGAATGGAAATTTATGCAAAGCTTCCAGATACACGTTAGAATCTAACTCTTTTGGTCAAAGACGAAATTGCAAGGCATTGGAAAAAAGTAAAATTAATTACAAGACCCAAAGAATCAAATTTATAATTCTGTAACGAGGTAGAGCTATCGAAGAAAGATTTATTCTTCCATTTGAATTTTCCCCATTATGGGCATTATTATATCCATGATATAATAACACCGATATTTCACGGACGGAACAAAATGGGTAAAAGGAAAAAGAATGACAAGCATGCTTTATTCTCAGAAAGATTTTTATGTAACAAAAAAATATATACATATATACATGTGACCCATACAGAGAATAATATATCACATATATCTACGCAGCAAAGCAAAGAGTAAGGAGAAACAAAAAGGAAGGGTCATATATATAATATGGAGATACTCCTGTACCTGGAGAAGGCTCCAAATTCAAACGGGCCGGATTCATCTATGTCACAGTCGAGGATATATTCCACAAAGGAGTAACCGTGAGTCTTGGGTTTTCTCAAATTGAGGAAAAGGCATTGTGGATTTGTAAACTGCTGGGGAGGCAGATTTAGTCTCTGTCCGGTCCATGGGTGTGCCGAGTTAAAGAAAGCCACGTTACCGTTTAGTTGCTGTAAACAAACTGAAATTTGACTGCCGCTTTTCATCACTGAGTGAAAGTAAAACAGAATGAGAAGAAGAAGGAGGATTGAGAAAAGGACAAAAAGAAACAAGATTCAAGCAAACAGAAGATGGAGATGGACGTTGCACAGTTGAGAAGTGAGAGAAAAGAGACTGTTTAAGGGGAAGTAACGGTTGCACCTCGGTAGTTAAACAGTAAAAGAGTGAGACCTAACTGACTATGTTTGCGACGCACGGTGGCTATTAATAATTAAGTATAACTCAAGACTTCAATATTAAAATACAACAGTATTTAATTACAATCGCAAATAAATACTTAGCAAAAACAAAGAAGTAAAAGTCAACCAAACAATTATAACCATTTCAGTGAATACCTTGTTAGTAGCTTGGCTCGGTTTAAAGTCCGGTAAATCCTAAATCAAAACCCAAACCATCGACGCACAATAATTCACACTAATTCGACTGGATAGTTCCACTCAATAGTCAACCAATAATCACTGCAGTCAGTAGCATGACACCGCTAATTATGCACTTGGCGGAAAACATATATTCATAAGTCCACAGTGTCACGCTCGAACCTTGGTGTCGGTAGGGACTCATTTTCTTTCTATATGGCAGAATTAGACCGGGAAGAGAGCAAGGATATTGTCTCTTTTTTAAGACACTGGAACAAGAAATGCTATTCTTATGAGCTAATTTCTTATCATATATACGGCATTTGATAAAGCATGACCCAAAGACCTATTTGCACTAACAGGAAATCTTTGTTTATATATGAAAAAAATCTCAAATTAGTCCATAATATCTAGAGGGAAAAACTGCTTGCATACGGACTGAAAATAAACTGAGCCAAAACGGACACCCACAAAAAAGACGTTGGTGATAATGGCTCCCCACAATTTCCTGTCTTTTGTAACTCTTCATAAAATGTCTTTTTGTTATCTCTTCCGCCATCAAACACGCAAGGTAGTTTGATTTGCTTTCAATCTGTCCTGTGAGCATCACATTTTCCAAACCCTCTTTCCTCTTGATGTGCCATATAAAGTGTTTCATTCTTATATTATCAGTGTCTTTTTGGCTTCCATTTCCTCTAAAACTTTGTTGTCTCTCACATGTTCGATGCATGGTGTTCACAGCATACAGCAGGCATGTGCTAAAGATGTACAAAAATGACACAAGTGTAAAAAAGATTTGTACGCACCCCCCCCCCTCAACAGAGAGAGAAAGTTGTGTCTCTCACGTAAACATGAGAAGATCTAGGCACCAAAGTAAATCCAGAAGTAAATAAACAATTATTTCGTTTGAGAGATTTAGACGAGTATTATTATTAGTCTTTACAACGATAGATAGATAGATAGATATGAACAGGTTGAGATAGATAGATAGATAGATAGATAGATAGATAGATAGATATGAACAGACTGAGATAGATAGATAGATAGATAGATAGATAGATAGATAGATGTGAATAGAGTGAGATTGATAGATGTGAATAGTGGGAGATAGATAGATGTGAACAGAGTGAGCTAGCTAGCTAGCTAGCTAGATAGATCGATATGAACAGAATGAGATAGATAGATATGAACAGACAGACAGATAGATAGATAGATAGATAGATAGATAGATGTGAATATAGTGAAATAGATGTGAATAGTGTGCGATAGACAGATATGAACAAACCGAGATAGATATATAGATAGATATGAAGGGACTGAGACAGATAGAAAGATAGATAGATAGATATGAACAGAATAAGAACGATAGATAGACATGAACAGACTGATCGCTAGCTAGCTCGATAGATATATAGATATGAACAAACCGAGATAGATAGATAGATAGATAGATGTAAATAGAGTGAGATAGATAGATAGATAGATAGATGTGAATAGTGTGAGATAGATGTGAATAGTGTGCGATAGATAGACAGATATTAACAAACCGAGATAGATAGATAGATAGATAGATAGATAAACAGTCTGAGATCGATAGATAGATATGAACAGACTGATAGCTAGCTAGTTCGATAGATAGATATGAACAAACCGAAATAGATAGATAGATAGATGTGAATAGTGGGAGATAGATGTGAGCTAGCTAGCTATGAACAGAATGAGATAGATAGATGTCAACAGAGATAGATAAATAGAAATAGATACATAGATGTGAACTGTGTGAGACAGATAGAATTGAAATGATTGAAATTGATGTGATGGCTTAGATATTACACAGATAGATATGAATAAAGTTACATAGAAACAGAAATATATATATATATATATATATTGTGTACATTTAGGCATGTTTCATTAAATAATATAGACAAGTTTTGTCTATTTTCAGTAAGTTCCTTTCATATTGTCTGATAAGTTTAATAGCATTATCATATATATATATATATATATTATGCCATTCGCAGACTACTGGTTCGCTGAATTACAACTCATCAGTGGGACTAGATATCCGAATGCTTCAAGCCCGGATCGAAACCCAACCGATTTGGTGTCAGTCAGAGTTTCTACCACTCAGCTATCTATATACAAATAAGAGAAACAGCTAACAAAAGCCAATTAGCCGGAGTACTCCATTTCATTCTACTGGAGAAATTTGCATTAGCGCAGGTTCATTAGTTCATAGAATCAGAATCAGAGATTTCATAGTTTAAAGGGAGAGGGAGAGAGGAAGAGGGAGAGAGAGGGAGATAGAGAGGGAGAGAGAATGAGAGAGAGGGGTAGAGAGAGGGAGAGAGAGGGAGAGAGGTAGAGAATGAGAGAGAGAGAGAGGGAGAGATAGAGAGAGAGGGAGAGAGGGAGAGAGAAAGAGAGAGGGAGAGAGAGAGGGAGAGAGAGAGCAAGAGGAAAAGAGAGAGGAATAGAGAGAGAGGCGCGAACAGAGTGAGATAGATAGAAATGAATAGACTGAGATATATAAGCACAGTGATAGATATATATATAAACAAAAAAAGAGATATGATAAAAAATAGTTTCAATTTATGGTATATGTATGGGTTATATCAGATATAAATCTATCTATCTATCTATCTATCTATCTATCTATCTATATATATATATATAAAAAGAGAGATATAAATAGATAAATAGATGTGGACAGAGCTAGATAGACAGATGTGAATGGAGTGTGATAGATATATAGTTAGATATGAATAGACATAGATTGGTAGATATGAATAAACTGCGATAGATATATAGAAAATTATATATATATATATATATATATATATATATATATATATATATATGCCCCATGTTGTATTATTTCTCTGGGTTGAATTCTAACTTTAATTGTCTATTCTTAAAAAGGAAATATCTTGATAAAATTAAAAATGAAAATCGTTAGAAAACAGATATATTTCAACCGGCAGGACATTCTATTTATCAGCAAAACCAAAATATCTTCTTGTCTGGGAACGTAAAACACCATTTCTGTTTTCTCCCATCAATTTGCAAGCGTCATCTCGTACAACGCAAGGCAAATATAAATCTATTCTATACAATTAGAACCAAAAAAGGCAACGTGAAAATAAGAAAAAAAAACAAAAAAAAAGATTTATTAAAAAATACAATAAAAATACATTTATCTCCATTTTCTAATCCTCTATGCTGCTCTGTCCGAAATAAAAAAAAAAAGAAAATAAAAAAAAAACTCTATTTCCGTCGGAAAGGGAAGAAAACGGAAAGTTGTTGGAAGGGAAGATGAAATGAAGCAAAAAAAAAAAAACCCAATAAAACTATGTTCGTTGTTCGGTTTGGCTACCTTTGGGGAAAGATTTTATTACAGTGTCAACAGCCATTATAAATCGCTCTCCTCCTCCTTCTCCTTTTGTTCCTCCTCATTCCTCCCATACATCTCTTTTCTTCTCCTCTTGTTCCTCCTTCATTCCTCCCATACATCTCTTTCTCCTCCTCCTTCTCCTCTTGTTCCTCCTCATTCCTCCCCTACATCTCTTTCTCCTCCTCCTTCTCCTCCTACTACTACTAATAACAATCACACATTCACAGTTTAATAACTAGGTGAGGTGACGAAGTTTTTTTTTCAAATGGAAACAAAACGGAAACTTATTCACTGTAATCAGGAAGAGACGATTGAATTTCTGGGGCTATACTGAGGAAAAGGTGTTGTAAATTTGATACACTCTAGACAGTTTGAAGACATAAAGAGATACAGAAGAAAACAACGCATAACATACTTAGTGAGCTACAGGGGAAAGGAAGTTGTGGAGAGCCATGCTCGCCTACGTCCTGTTGAGATACGGTGCATAAAGAGGAAAAAGTTTCATAATATTTCCTGAATAAATATACTCCTTTCCAGTTTCACGACTGTGATAAAAGCGAGAATTGATGTCCCTCTTTAAGACGTGGGCGATTAAGGTCCCTTCTAGCATTTGGTTAGAGACCCTGTTCTGCAAATAATACGCGCAAGCCTCCTTCTTCTTCTCCTTTTTGTTTCTGTTGATTCAAGTCTCTTCTTCATCCTTGAGGAGGTTGTTCAGCATTCACTGCCATATAGAAGGACTAATATTACATAAGAGTTCAGTACTCTTTTCTTTGTTTCTCTTGGTTCAAGTCTCTTCACCTGTGAGGCGATTGTCCAGCATTCACTGCCATATAGGAGGACTGATGTTACGTAACAGTTCATTACTCTTTTCTTTATATTGCTTGAAGTCTCTTCTACATCTGTGAGGAGATTGTCCAGCATTCACTGCTATATAGGAGGACTAATATTACATAACAGTTCAGTACTCTTTACTTTGTTTTTATTGCTTCAAGTCTCTTCTTCATCTGTGAAGAGATTGTCCAGAATTCACTGCCATATAAGAGGACTGATATTACATAACAGTTCAGTACACTTTTCTTTGTTTCTCTTGCTTCAAGACTCTCTTCTTCATCTGTGAGGAGATTGTCCAGCATTCACTGCCATATAGGAGGACTAATATTACATAACAGTTCAGTACTCTTTTCATTGTTTCTGTTGCTTCAAGTCACTTCTTCATCTGTGAGGAGATTGTCCAGCATTCACTGCCATATAGGAGGACTGATATTACGTAACAGTTCAGTACTTTTTCTTTGTTTCTCTTGCTTCAAGTCTTCTTCTTCATCTGTGAGGAGATTGTCCAGCATTCACTGCCATATAGGAGGACTGATATTACATAACAGTTCAGTACTCTTTTCATTTGTTTCTCTTGCTTCAAGTCTCTTCTTCATCTGTGAGGAGATTGTCCAGCATGCCATATATAGGAGGACTGATATTACATAACTGTTCAAAAACTCTTTTTCTTTGTTTCTCTTGCTTCAAGTCTCTTCTTCATCTGTGAAGAGATTGTCCAGAATTCACTGCCATATAAGAGGACTGATATTACGTAACAGTTCAGTAAATTTTCTTTGTTTCTCTTGCTTCAAGACTCTTCTTCATCTGTGAGGAGATTGTCCAGCATTCACTGCCATATAGGAGGACTGATATTACATAACTGTTCTGTATTCTTTTCTTTGTTTCTCTTGTTTCAAGTCTCTTCTTCATCTGTGAGGAGATTGTCCAGCATTCACTGCCATATAGGAGGACTGATATTACATAACTGTTCTGTACTCTTTTCTTTGTTTCTCTTGCTTTAAGTCTCTTCTTCATCTGTGAGGAGATTGTCCAGCATTCACTGCCATATAGGAGGACTGATATTACATAACAGTTCAGTACTATTTTCTTTTGTTTCTCTTGCTTCAAGTCTCTTCTTCATCTGTGAGGAGATTGTCCAGCATTCACTGCCATATAGGAGGACTGATATTACATAACAGTTCAGTACACTTTTTCTTTTGTTTATTGCTTCAAGTCTCTTCTTCATCTGTGAGGAGATTGTCCAGCATTCACTGCCATATAGGAGGACTGATATTACATAACAGTTCAGTACACTTTTCTTTGTTTCTCTTGCTTCAAGTCTCTTCTTCATCTGTGAGGAGATTGTCCAGCATTCACTGCCATATAGGAGGACTGATATTACATAACAGTTTCAGTACTTTTTTCTTGTTTCTCTTGCTTCAAGTCTCTTCTTCATCTGTAAGGAGATTGTCCACCATTCACTGTCATATAGGAGGACTAATATTACATAACAGTTCAGTGCTCTTTTCATTGTTTCTCTTGCTTCAAGTCTCTTCTTCATCTGTGAGGAGATTGTCCAGCATTCACTGCCATATAGGAGGACTGATATTACATAACAGTTCAGTACTCTTTTCATTTGTTTCTCTTTTTCAAGTCTTTCTTCATCTGTGAGGAGATTGTCCAGCATTCACTGCCATATAGGAGAACTGATATTACGTAACAGTTCAGTACATTTTCTTTTTTTTTCTCTTGCTTCAAGTCTCTTCTTCATCTGTGAGGAGATTGTCCAATGAGACACTGCCATATATAGGACTGATATTACATAACAGTTCAGTACTCTTTTCTTTTGTTTCTCTTGCTTCAAGTCTCTTCTTCATCTGTGAGGAGATTGTCCAGCATTCACTGCCATATAGGAGGACTGATATTACATAACAGTTCAGTACTCTTTTCTTTGTTTCTCTTGCTTCAAGTCTCTTCTTCATCTGTGAGGAGATTGTCCAGCATTCACTGCCATATAGGAGGACTAATATTACGTAACAGTTCAGTACTTTTTCTTTGTTTCTCTTGCTTCAAGTCTCTTCTTCATCTGTGAGGAGATTGTCCAGCATTCACTGCCATATAGGAGGACTGATATTACATAACAGTTCAGTACTCTTTTCATTGTTTTTCTTTGCTTCAAGTCTCTTCTTCATCTGTGAGGAGATTGTCCAGCATTCACTGCCATATAGGAGGACTGATATTACGTAACAGTTCAGTACAAAATTCTTTGTTTCTCTTGCTTCAAGTCTCTTCTTCATCTGTGAGGAGATTGTCCACCATTCACTGTCATATAGGAGGACTGATATTACATAACAGTTCAGTACTCTTTTCTTTTGTTTCTCTTTGCTTCAAGTCTTTTTCTTCATCTGTGGGGAGATTGTCCAGCATTCACTGTCATATAGGAGGACTGATATTACATAACAGTTCAGTACTCTTTTTTTTTGTTTCTCTTTTCTTCAAGTCTCTTCTTCATCTGTGGGGAGATTGTCCATCATTCATTGTCATATAGGAGGACTGATATTACATAACAGTTCAGTACTCTTTTTTTTTGTTTCTTTTGCTTCAAGTCTCTTCTTCATCTGTGAGGAGATTGTCCACCATTCACTGTTTCATATAGGAGGACTGATATTACATAACAACAGTTCAGTACTCTTTTCTTTGATTTTTTCTTGCTTCAAGTCTCTTCTTCATCTGTGAGGAGATTGTCCATTCATTCACTATCATATAGGAGGAACTGATATTACCACACTAGTTCAGTATCTTTTTCTTTGTTTCTCTTGCTTCAAGTCTCTTCTTCATCTGTGAGGAGATTGTCCATTTCTCTGCCATATAGGAGGACTGATATTACGTAACAGTTCAGTACATGTTTCTTTGTTTCTCTTGCTTTAGAAGTCTCTTCTTCATCTGTTGGATGAGATTGTCCATATTCACTGTCATATAGGAGGACTAATATTAAATAATAGTTAGTGCTCTTTTCATTGTTTCTTTTGCTTCAAGTTTCTTTTCATCTGTGAGGAGATTGTCCAGCATTTTTTAACATAAAGGACTGATATTATATAACAGTTCATACTTTTTTTTTTGTTTCTTATTGCTTTATAGTTTCTTCTTCATCTGTATATAGATTGTCCAGCATTCAAAAAATCCTATCAGGACTAATATTTATATAACAGTTCAAATTTATTTTTTTTTTTTGATTGTTTCAAGTATAATTCTTCATCTGTGAGGAGATTGTCCAGCATTCATGCTTATATAGGAGGAATGATATTATATAATT